AAATAAATAAATAAATAAATAAATAGTTTGTATCCCTATGCATCCATACTTTGATTTAAATGTATTCAAAAACTGCTTTTTTGTCTTCTGTACATAGAGAATAAGAAGATAACTTGAAAACACTGTGTGTGACATGTGTCCTTTTAGAAATTTCCTCTAGCAAGATGATCTATAAAAGAATAGTAGTCTGTATTTTTTCTTAATTTAGTTGTATACCTACAAAGCTCATTTTTCCATTGTTTTTAAAATAAGTATTGCCAAATTTTAAAAAAGGTTTTAAATGTATTCCATTCCTCAAAAGTGCAAAAAAATATTTTACACTGTTTTCAAGTGCATTAACAATAACTTTGTAACATTAAATGAATGATGTAAAGTTTTTTTCAAAAGTAAGGTTAACCTTTAGTTGTTTCCCAAAGCATTCAGCAGACTTTGTTGTGAAATAGGGAAAAATCACTATTGGTTATAATGACAATTTTTGTACAAATAAGACAAAGCTGAGGTCCATGGAACAATGTTAAGAATTCTAGAATATTTAAAATTCTGATGAATTATTTGTGAGGAGCATAAGACAACACCGTGGCTCCTATTTTGGCCGGAAACGTCCACATTTCCCTTGGTGTAGCCGTGCCATCCCATTTTGAAAGTTACGTGTCCAAGTATGGCAACAACGCTGAGAGAGCCATCCTTCACAGTATGAAAAGTTAGCGGGAGCTGCGCGTGGCCAGGATTTCAAAAACGAAAATTTAAAAACCGTCAGCATGCATTTCCTTTCCCCGCAGTTGAGAACCTTCTCAACTTCCTCCCTACACGTCACTTCGGTGGGAGGACAAACGGAGCGCTCCCCCCCCCCAAAAAGATAGCAGGGCTGAACTTCGCGTTTTCTTTCTCGCCAAAGTATACACCACTGTGTCCGAAAAACGGTTCGGCAACAAGCGCGCCCGTATCCTATGAGAAACAAAGGCCACTCAAGTTGTTGCGCGGCTAATTAAAAAAAAAAAAGCGGAAAGTTGTGTTTTGTTTCTCCGGGACCTGGTCAGCCGCAGCCCAGACCTTCGAAGCACACAACCCGACTCTGATGACAAGAGTTGTGAGGGGATTCTTGTTTTTAAACATACACACACACCGAAAACCCGGTCTTATAGGGGAGCTCCCGGCCACGGTGCAAAAGCAGGCAGCTCGCTCAAGTTCTCCATCGCCGTTCCTCATAATGCATGTGAATGTGGTGGCGGTGCTTCTCGCCGCCTGTGCCTCGTCTCCCTGTCGCTGGGTACGACTCCCGCACTGTGTGCTTGTTGTACTCGCTCGCTCTCTCTTCCTTTCTCTCGCTCTCCCCCTCTCTTTCCCCCCTCCCTTTCTCGCTCTCTCGCTCTCTCTCTCTTACACTGCCAGCCCCTGATGTGATGGCGAAGAAACCCCGTTGACAAGGCACTGCTTTTTCATGACGGTGAGTTTCCCTTTGAGTGTATTATAATTTTGTGATAAAAATTTCAAGGAAAAAAAAAACACACAACCTCCTTCCTCCCTTCCTTCGGGGAGGGAAAAGAGAGGGGGGAAATCTATCTCCAGACAGACAGAGAAGAAAGAGGAGCAAATTAACAACCAGGAGTTGCCAAAACCAGGATATTAGGTTTCAGCCCAGAGAGCTATTGGCTCTGGGGCGATGTATATAAATATATATCTAGAGAGAGAGAGAGAGAAAGGGAGAGGAGAGAGAGAGAGAGACAGGGGACACAGGGAGGAAGAAGAAGAGGGCGATTTTGCGCGGGTGGTGGTTGGTGGGCAGATGTTAATTCAGATGGAAATGAAATATTTATTTCTTTTGCAGTGACAGGCGGCGGTGGCGGCTAGAGAGGGCACTTCCAAAAATGTGTTTCTTGAAGGGGGAGAGACGAGGGAGGGAGTGAGAGAGAGAGAGAGAGAGAGGGAGGACAGATAAGGTTTCAGGTCTAGCCTGATAGCTGCAAGAGAGGGGGAGAGAGAGGATTGGGGTGGGTTTTCCTCTCCCCCCCTCTTGCTGATGCCATGCAAATTTAGGAGAGGAGGGAAAAAATCTCTTTTAATGACTCATTGATTGAGCCGGTTTAAAATTAGTTGTTGTCTTGTTGGGAGGGTTGGTTTTTTTTTATTTTTGGACACCCCCTTGATGGCCATCGAGAGGGCGAGAAAGAAGTGTGTGCGTTTGTGTATGTGTGAGTGGTATGACAGAGAGAGAGAGTGTGTGTGTGTGTATGAGTGCGAGAGAGAGAGTGAGGAAGAGGGGGGATCGACTGTGTGTGTGTGTGTGTGTGTGAGGGAGAAAGATCAATAATCTTTTCAAATCTCCTCCCTCTTTTCCCCCCTCGTTTCTTTGCTTTTCTCTAAAGCTCTCTGGTCTGTGAAGCACTTTTTCTTCCTCCTCCTCAGGAAAATGGAGACGCTTCGTCTTCTCTCTCCTGGGCGAGAGGCTGCCAAGGATTTTTCTTTTCTTTTGCCTCCCTGGTCGGATTTGGTTTCATCTCTCAGCTCTTCTCATCTTGTAATAATTTTTGCTGTATTTCTGCCACGGGCTGTGCTTTTCGCTGGTGATTTTTTCCCCCAATTAATTTTGCTGGTCTGGGTTTTTCCTTTTGTTATTTATCCTTTTTTGGGGGCTGCGGTTTATCCTGTACTTTTGTCTATGCGTCAGTGTTAACACGAAATGGAAATGGCGATTGTTTCGTTAGATGTAATTCTGGGTCGGTAGGATTAAAAATGCATTTCGAAGTATTCGGCTGTAATTTGTATTTTAAAAATGGAAGAATAATAAATGTCCTAATCCTGTAATAACATTTTCGTTTTTGCCTCTTGATGAATGTGCATCTTTTATTTTTTCCTCGAATTAGCCTGCCAAAAAACCCCATTTTTTGGTAATTGATTTTCAGTTATGCGGGGGGGGNNNNGATGAAGGATTATATAAAGAATTGATTGAAAATCCGTGAAAGGTTGGATCGTTTTGAGGTGGGTACTTGATTCTTTCCCCGCTCTTTTTTCCCTGTTTAAATCGAGGTGGGGATTTGTTCAGGGGTGGAAAATAAACTTCAGATATAACCGTCTGAATAGTGTTCTTAAAACGGAAACACAGAGCGGATACATTCGTGAAATATAAGCTATTGCCGGTAAAAGGAGGGGAAACTGGCTGATAAGGCCTTCGGGTTTTCTGGCCCTTTTTTTGCAAAAATTGTACGCATTTGCACTATTGTTTTTTAACTTGCTGTGCCTTGCCGAACCAGATTAAGAAAAAAAAATCCTTTTCCCTTCCGTGTGTCGGCTTTTAAAAACCGGGCTTCTGCTTTTTGTCTCCCACTGGCGGGACTGGGAGAAGAGAAGATGGCGCTGTCTGGCTCCCAGCCAGGAGCTTGTTGCGCAGTTTCTTTCTATTCGCTTTTAATAGCTTCGCAGCCGCCATTTTGAGATGTTGATATTTTCTCCTAGGCTGGGGCGTCACCCCTTTTTGGAAATTTTATTCACTTCCTCAAAACGGATCCAAAAATATATACCTTCCTAAGCCAGTTCAAAGATAAAACGGATATGAAAATCCCCCTTCCCCCTTTTTAAGAGCTACGGTAATATTGAAGGTTTCAACCTAGAATATGCTATTTGGAAGGGTAATCTTACAGCATTTGACAAGATGTAGTTTAATCGCTTGCCCGGAGCTTATAAACTAATTAAATCGTAAGCCTGGCTCGCTGTAAAATTGCATGGGTGGGCTTTGCCTGAAAACAGCTGTTTCTTCAGTCTTCGTCTCCTGGTTATGGGAATAAACGAAGGATTACCCCCATAAAATGAGTTGTTCCCTGTTCTAAACGACCTTAAACTCATAGTCTGATCAGACACGCTGTCAAATTGGCTTCACTTTCTTGGGGGGGGGCTTGTAACTGAAACAGAACAAAAACTACATATACAGAAATAAATTCATATAGTGCAAGTCAGATCTTAAATTTAGATATACTGTACATAATTTGTCAGGTAACAAAATGGAGGACTGTTGTGTGAAATTTTTACACTCTACTACTGTATTTAGATCTTACTGCTAAGAAATGGGAAGTGTGCAAAATGTGTCCTCTTTGATACAAAAGTATTCCTTCTAATATCCAAAAAGGAACTCAACATGTGTTTTCCGACTGAACAGGCATTCCTGAATTTTGTCATTCCCAGTGGTGGCACTTGTGAGCACTGTGTTGGGTTTGAAAAACAAGTGATGATGGGTTTAAAACAATCTATTGAAGTAGATTAAGAAGAGTAGAAGAGGTCTGAACAAATTATCTACAAAAGAGTACCTGATATGAACTATCTGAAGACTAAGTCCACAAGTCAATTGTACACTGACTTCAGTGATAGACTCTGTCCCATTTTAATCACAGTTACTGTACCTGGAAAACTGTTTTAGAAAGAGCTTCTGTAGTATAAGGGCACAATATTATTTTCTTAACATTCATATTATATAATGTAGCAGATATATGTTCTAAGCTTTGTTGAAGGATACTGTTATTTATAAAACAGTCTTAGCTTTTGTCCAAATATTTTTTTACAGAACCGTATGTAGGCAAATCATTTAAACTTTTACATGTCATGCTGAGTCAGATAAAATGGAGGCTTCATCCAGTTCATTCTCATGCAGTAGAATTAATCTGGAAGTTAGGAATGGAATTCAGCACATCAGCTTTCAAATTCATATGAAAAACCAAACGTGTTACCATGTGGGGAAAGGAATTCCTCAAAGCAGAAGTTAGGCCCAATTTTGTTTAGTATCCATAGTTCAAAAATGTGAGGTGCACTACATGCTTGTTCATGCTGTTAATGGTTGGAATTGGCTCTGTAAATATTTTTAGTGCAATAGAAATGTGCTGAAGTACAACACTGGTATATCTCAGATCAAAATAAAAAACTACTATCATATAATCCTGAAGAGCCTACTGTACATTAAATTGTACAGTAAAAAGCACATCTCTTTGTGTTACAGCAGAGTATAGGAAGGAAGAAGATTCAAGATTTAATGGGAAGGCCATTCTGTAGGCGTTGTTTTGCACTCCCAAGTTCTAGCAAAAGTTGGCCAGTTTAATAGTAAAACATGTCTTTTTACTATACCTAATTTTACCTTATGAGAAGGTCAGAACATATGCAGACCTGATCCTGGGGTATGCAGTCTCCTGCTTTGTTGGAAGAACTAGTTGCATGGACTCCTACCATATACTGTAATCATGGTATGATACATATAATAGGTTGTGCAATCAGTTCCATCTTTGGCTTTTTCCTTCTGCCATTTTGATTGAACTGAAAGAAAAAGAATAATTTCAAGCAATCAATTAAATTAAATAAACCGTGATTTAAATTTTAAAAATCAGATTTTTAAATGATTTTAATTAAAAATCGCTTTTTGAAATTTAAATCATGACTGAAAGAAATTGTTTTTATCTATCCTGGCTTGAAGTAAGTCATTGGGGAGTTCTTGAATTTCAATTCATTACAAACAGTTTTGTTGAAATATTACATAATGTGAAAAATTATGTGAAATCTCGAGATGTTAAAAACAAATAATGGTTTAGGCAGGGATTCTGAAATCAGATTTATCTAGGTACGAGCTTTAATAAAACTGTAGCAGTTATTTTTGTTGAAGAGCTAGAATCTAATTCAGAATTAGTTTGCAAATCATGTAAATTATTCTGGCATTCTGCCGATCATATATTCTGGCCTGTGACAAAGGCCTGTCAACTCCACTTCAGTTGGTAAATTCAGTTGGTAAAGTACAGATTGTACATTTCCTGTCATGTCAGAAATTACTGTTTTCCATGCATAACAACCGGGTAGATACACAGAAATATTTTGTCTGACCTACAACAGTGTGACCCAGGACAACTGTCTACCTGTTTTGTCACCATGACCTTTCCAGGTGGGATTCATCTGGTCTCATCATTTCATCTGTTTGCAAGCATAGTGCACATTCAGTGGAGTCTTAACTTACATCCTTGGAAAGAGGGCCAACTGTTAGAAGCATGTACATACTATTTCCTTCTTATTTTGCATCTTAAAACTTAAAATTTTGCATCTTATTTTGCATCTGTTTTAATGATCCGCCCTCAAAGGTTATTGGATCCTATAGGATTTCAGGATACCATGAGAGGGATTCCAGCTGATTTGACTGGTGCTCCTGTCGAGGCTCTGGTTGATAGCTGGCTGGCCGCTGCCACTAGGGCTGTTGACACGATAGCACCCAAACTTCCTCTCTGGCGCAGAGATCACCCTTTAATCTGATTTAATCCAGAGCTGCGATCAATGAAGTGAAATAGGAGAAGAATATGAAGGTGGAACCCAAAGGAAAATAAATAGCTGCCAGGATCGCGACTAACCTCTACCAATCTAAGGTGAAGACTGCTAGTTGATCTTACTTTGCTGTTCAAATAAGCAAAGCCTCCAAACCAGCAGGTGGAA